ACTATCTATCTGACCAAGGCTGATTTTCCTTTTGGGGTTATCAAGTTGTACCTGGGTGATGCAGACAAATTCTCGATACTTTAAAAAAAAAAAAAATCACTTCATCTTTTCAATTGAACAAGTCTTGGGACCAATACAATAAAGTTGCCCTTTTAAACTCTTCCTCTCTGGAAGATGTAGGTCTATAGAAGAATTTTCAGTATGAGTGATACCTCGTGTTTTTCTTCATCGTCTAACACTAACATGGATTGTTAGAAGGAGGGAAGAGATGAGCAATCTGTTACTTCTGGGATGTCAGACTCCTCCTGATCCTAGAAATTCAAATCTCAAGGAGGGAAAGAACATGTAAGAGCTGACAGCCAATCTGGAAGAAGATTCATTTGAAGCAGGGAGTTCATTTTATCTGCTGCTATCAGTGTATTAGGAATTCATTCTCCTAAGTCTCCTTTTTGTAAAACATTCACTGTTCCAAAAGCACTGTCTCTTGCTTCCTAAACCCTTGTAGCCTGGAACTGTCAGTATATTATAGTAAAGTATAGAATACAGGCTTTGGAGTCAGATAGAACTGGGTTCAGATCCTGGCTCTGTCATTTATTAGGGTTGTGACTGAATGTAAGTTATGTAACCTTTTGTGGATATGTTTTCTCATATGTACAATGAGGATTATAATAATGTCTTCTTTTATGTAATATAATGCACATAATAAGCATTAAGTTAATGTTAAGTGACTGGGTTTGTCTTTTACCACCATATCTCCATCCCCTAGAATATTACCTAATATACAGTTACTCGATAAATATTTGTTAAATCAATGCTACAAGCCCACATTTTTGTCTTTACTTCCTTTTCCATTCCTAAGAAGTAGGTATGTTGCTTATTTTTCAACCTCCCATTATGGATAAACAACACAAGAGACATGGAATAACACCTGGTCATTCAGAACTTGACCTACATAAAGTAGAAGTAATAGTTCCACCTGACATAGTATTTCTGTCTTCTGGGAAATTATTAAACTATATCAGAACTATAGAACCTGATACTTCAGCAGTGTTTTTTCTATTGTATTGGAAAGAGCACTAGACTAGAAATCCAGTCTGTACTGATCAACTGACTGACTTTGAATAATTTGAATAAATTTCTCAGCTGTCATTTTCATCATATCTAAAATGAGTGGGATTAAACTAGATGATATCACGATACACTTCTAACCCTAAAATTCTGTGTTTCTTATGGCTAACTCTGTATTAACAATATGTATTTATTTAGGGGAGGAATCTGAAGTTCTCAGAAGACATAGCTTCTTTGATGACAACATATTGCTGAATTCCAGTGGTCTTTTAGTTGAACCTAGTTCTGGAAGCCTCACTGGAGAAAAATCTCTGTTCTATGATAGTGGAGATGGATTTGGAGACGAAGGGGCTGCAGGGGAAATGATTGGTATGTTGTATAGCCATATAGAAATTGTATATTTATTTCAATCAAATTAGTACAATTTATTGGAGTCTGTCCCTGAGTGGTACAAAGGGTCAGTGTGCTCAGCTGCTAACCAATGGGTTGGTGGTTCAAGCCCACCCAGAGGGACCTCAG